CCCAAAACCCCAAAACCCCAAAACCCCAAAACCCCAAAACCCCAAAACCCCAATACTATAAAAATTATGAGTATTTATTCGAGTGGTTTTTAAATATCCATAATAATAAATTTAAAAATAACATGAAGTTGACAGGATACTTCCTGATCCTCGCTATCTTCTTGGTTGTTACCAGAAGTGCTATTGTCGAGCCTGCCTTCAGAGGTGGAGTTAGAGCTCCAGCTGGAGCCACCAGAGTTGGAGGAGTTCATTCAGCACCAAGATTCAGAGGTGAGGCTGTTGTTGAAAGACCAGTCGTTGGAGGAGCGGTTGTTGGAGGAGCCGTTGCTGCCGGACCAATCTACAACAGAGGGTTCGCTGGAGAAAGAGTTGTTAGAGCACCAGTTGTTGAAGAAGCTTTCGTCGGAGGACGTAGGCGTGGAGGAGCTGTTGTTGAAGCTCCAGTATATGAAGGAGCTGTTTATGGAGCTGCCCCATTCTACGGAGGAGCTGTTATCGAAGAGCCAGTTGTATACGGAGCTAGAGAATTCGCCCCAGTCGGAGTAGTAGCAGCACCAAGAGCACCTTCTCATTATGTAACAAGCGAGCATGAGAACAAACTCCCAGACGCTGTATTCACTTACACTGATGAGCACCACACCCCACATACTTATGAATATGTTGATGACTTGCACATCCCACACACTTTCGAGTACACTGATGAGAGAGTCATTGATCACCCAATCGAAGTACCAGAGACTGTCTTGGTTCCCCATGTCTACGATTATGAGGAAGAAATTATTGTTCCAAGAACCGTTGAATACCAAGAAGAAATTATGGTCCCACATACTTATAACTACATGGAAGAAGTCCATATTCCAAGAACTAGAGAAATTGTAGAGGAATTCATGGTACCTCGTACTTATGAATACGTTGAAGAGGTTACTGTACCAAGAACTGTTGAATGGGATGAGCAAATATTCGTACCACACACTTACGAATATGTTGAAGAAGTTTCAAAGCCAAGATACGTTGAGGTTGAGGATGTAGTCATGGTTCCTCATACTTATGAGTATGTTGAAGAAGTCACTGTTCCAAGAACTGTTGAATACCAAGAACAAATCATGGTACCACACACCTACGAATATGTTGAAGGAGTTCCAGTTCCAAGAACCGTTGAATGGGATGAAGAAATCATGGTCCCACATCAATACGAGTGGGTTGATCCAGTATACAGCGCTGAATACGTTCCATACACTGTCGTAGACGAGACTCTTGTTCCACATACTTATTCTTATGAAGAAGCTTACACTGTCCCAAGGTACTACGAGTGGACTGAAGAAGTACATAACCCATACACTGTTGAATACGAATATGACGATACTTATGTTGTCCCAAGAACCCAATATGCTTCCCATGTTGAGGCTTACGAAGTCCCAAGAACTGTTGAATGGCAAGAACAATACGCTGTTCCAAGGACCGTTGCTTTTGAAGAAGATAGAGTTGTAGACAGAAGAATTGGAGTTGAGCAAGACAGACTCGGATATAGAACCGAAGCCTTCGAGACTCTCACCCCAGGATATGCCACCGGTGTCGGACTTGCAGGATATGGTGCCAGAGGATTCTACTAAGAAGTATTATAATCAAGACTTGACTTTGTTGTCTAAGAAATTTTAAAATGTCTTCTTTTTTCTTATTTTATTGAGGGTTAATTATTCAATAATTAGAAGCTTCCAAGGGGTTTTGGGGTTTTGGGGTTTTGGGGTTTTGGGGTTTTGGGG